AATCTATGTGATTTTTGCCTAAATTTTATTTTTCTCATTGGTTGAAAAAAAGGCGCCAATGAAAAAAATAAAATTTAGGCAAAAATCACGTAGATTATGTCGACGCCAGAAAAGAAGTCAAAGTATAATTATAAGGAACCCGCTGTCGGATTCACTGAAAATTTTTGCACATAGCGCCCAATTTTTACCTAATTTGGTGCTGCGCGGCAAAAGTACCTAATTTTCTAATGGAGAAGGTAAAAGTTAAATTTCTGCGTCAAACTTCACTCGGGAACGATGGAAAGTGTTTTTCCTTATACAAGTTCATGTTCTCTCTCGAACTACACTAGAATCAACTCTTCATATCAAAAACTGAAGTTTTTATTGAAATTTTAAAAGTAGCGCAGAAAACCCGAAAAAAATTCAAAATTTTTTTTTATCAAACACTACAAATCCGGAAATCGAAAGCTTTGTTGAGACATATACTCCGAAGTGTCCTGTACAAACGGGTGGGGGACCCCCTTAACTATTAGGCGAAGTACAATTAGCCATATACTCAATGAATTTGGTATGGTTAGTTATATTGCACCGAGAAAACCAAAAATTAATCGTGCACAAAGAAGAAAGCGGTTGATTTGGTGTTGGCAACATCTACAATGGTCGGGAAAAGGTTGATCAAGAGTAATTTTTAGTGATGAAAGTAATTTTTAATTGCTGAATCGGAAGAATAGAATTTATATACGTCGTTATCGACACGATAAACATCCTTTTAAACGATCGCAATCGCGTACACATAAAGATGGCGGTTTAGGTGTATGGGGATGTTTAACAAATTATGGATTAAGTAATTTAGTTTTCTTTCATGGTCCGATTAATTCATCTAAATATATTCGGATACTCGACATGAATTTACCGTCAGCATTTAAACAATTTTCCACACATTGTCGTCGTGACAAAATATTCCAACAAGATAATGCACGGCCACATGTATCAGCAAAAACACAACAATATTTAAAAAAAATGAATATATGTATTCCAATGGCAATCATCTTCGCCGGATTTAAGCTTAATTGAAAATCTTTGGTCTATTATTGATGATCAATTATTAAAATATCCAATTAACAATTCTGAAGAGCTCAAAAATGCGCTAATAAAAATATGAAATGAAATTTCACTGAATACAATCAGAGATCTTTATTCATCCATGCCAAACAGATTAAGATAAGTTATTCGACGATTTAATTTTTTCATATTGGTATCATTTGAAAATCAAGAAAATAAAATAGTCGAGACAGAAAAGTAAAGAGGTCTTGTAATTTTCGTACAGTGCTTTTTTCTTTTTGTCGCGTTTCTCACATGTAGAAGAATAGGCAGAGGTATAAGACGGTGGGATGAGATAGCAGATAAGCATGTCTATGTAAACAAATGATGAACAGATCAACAACATTAGTTCTTAAAATAGAAGAAATTTTTTTAGACAAAATCAGTAGGGGTCTTATAATTTTGGGACACCCTGTATAATATGGGCTTCATATATCGAATGAAAATATAGTGAATAGAGAGTATAAAATTACTGGGTAAGATTGATATGGAGCTAGAAATACATAGACATACACAAGTTTAATTTCGTCTTATTTAAGTATATATATTTTTGAAATATCTTCTATTTCACAGTTGGAAATAGATACAGGTAAAATATACTACTCAAATTTGAAATAAAAGTTATCGGTGTTTTCAACAATATTTTACTTTTATTTAATATCTTCTATTTAGTAACTAACATAAGACATTTTTAGCAAAAGAATTCTATACCACACTACACCGGTAACACAACTGAGAATATTTATATACTCTATGTTATAAACTGCAAATATCGTATAAAACTGAAACGTATCGAATCAGCAAAACATCGAGCGGAATTCGGTTGGTCGCAGTGTGGTGGCTGCTTTACGCATTACAATACTCTATTACTGACAAAAGTCGTTTACAATCGCTTCTAGTCATTTGCTCCGTGTCGACTAAATTGAATTATTACACTCAAAATCTCTTTTCAATTAAGATGATGTAGCAAAACCGTAGCATAGTTCATAAATTCACTCTAAAAACAGTTTGAATTTATATAAATTTGCTTACAAGAAGCAAGTGATGCCAAAAAATCATCGCGTTTTGATAGAATTCCGACTCAGAGGCGTTCAACTGTAATCCTTCGGATGGTAGCTTCGCACCATCGGCCTGTCGGCCGAGCGCGTAAACCAGATATCCGAACCTACGGTTCCTCTCGTACTGAGTAGGACTACTATTGCGATAACATAGTTTACACTAGGGTAAAACTAACCTGTCTCATGACGGTCAAAATCCAGCTCACATTCTCTATTGGTGGATGAACAATCCAAAATACTTTGCAAAGTCTGCTTCGCAATGATAGGAAGAGCCGACATCAATCAAAAAAGCAACATCGCTATGAATGCTTGGCTACCACAACGCAGTTATCACTGTGGTAACTTTTCTGTCACGTCTTGTAAAAACTCGTTAATCAAAGGGATCCATGGGCTCGGCTTTCGTCGTCTGTATTCGTACTGAAAATCAAATCAAGCAAACTTTTGCATTTTTACTCTACGTGTGGTTTCCGTCCACACTAAGTCTACCTTAGGACACCTGCGTCACCATTTGACAGATGTACCGCCCCAACCAAACTCCTCACCTGTTTATGTCCTCGAAAGATAATGTTTATGATAAAGTAAACATTTGTCACTCAAACACTGGAATAAATTCAATTTCTGTTTAACCGAGTAAGAAAAGAAATAATGAAAGTGATGGTGTTTCATTGATGTATTGCTGCTCCTATCTACACTACACCTTTCAAGTCTCTTTTCATAAACAAATTAGAATCAAACTCAACAGGGTCCTCTTTCCCCACTGAAATATCCAAACCAGTTGCATTGGCTGTTGTTTCGCTAAATAGTAGACAGAGACAGTGTAAATCTCGTTAATCCATTCATGCGAATCACTAATTAGATGACGAGGCATTTGGCTACTAGGAGATAGTCATAGTTACGTTCGCCGTTTACCCGCGCTTAGCTGAATTTCTTCACATTAACATTCAGAGCACTGGGGAGAATGCGTCAACACCAAGTGTTCCGACAAGAAATCTTTTAAGTTTTTATCAAGATCTGTCGTCAAGATTTTTTACTTGGGACCTAGTCAGATAGTTTTGTGACAATTCTCACTACTCGAGAAAGGTACTTGCCCATCGCTATTGTCTGTTAGCAACCTTTTACTTTACCGAACACTCAAAATGATGCCATGGATTTTTCCTTTTCTTTTTGTTCCGTCACAACGAAAAAATACCTTGCGCCTTTTGTAGCACTAGTCTAGTAGTGTGTGGAGTAAGAAGATCTCGAAGAAGTGTTGTGTAGTTTTCGAGGGAGGAGGCCAGGAAGGGCCGACGTAGGTTCTCCGGCTTCACTCACCACGAAGAAGTAAAAAGTGCTAGAGACTTCATTGTTGCGTCAAACGAACAAACTTGGAAGCTGCTTTCATTTGAATATAAATAAAGTTATGTTTTGTTAGGTTTTGAGCTCGTCCAACACGCCATAAAACCAATAGTATCTGTTAATGCAGATAAGGTCCCCCATGCTCTTTCCAGCTAGCAGTATGAGAACGCTTGATACTATTAGATAAAGTCAAATTTCGCTATTCGGGCACCCCTAAAAATGCTTCAATTCAGAACTTATGGCCGCGGAAAACCCACGTTCGGAATAATTTTTCTGCGGAGCGACACACCTTTAGTAGGACTATCGATTGCAAATAGTCAAACCTTCCGGCTTTTAGCTAATGTAATACTGGGCGGACCTGTGCGGAAGTATCCACCTGCCGATAGGTGCCCAAGTACTTGTATTTTTCGTCGGTACCTATGAGACCACCCTGCTACATGAATGTCATAGGTGCCTGAACATTATTTACAAAAAAAGGTTCCTGTTTGAAAAAAGCGGAATTTCTGCAGACATTAATGATGTCGTACGCACTGTCTGTAATAAACTCTTAAATACAAAACTTTACAAAATTTTGGTTTATGGGTTTTCATTAACCATCGTCACAACAGAAGATGTTGCAGGAAGGAGAGTTGAAAGTCGGTTCGCAGAGATTTTCAATTCAGTTGCCGTACCAAGAAACAAAAATGATCCGGTTAATGGGAGTCCCCACATCGATTAGCAATGACGAAATAAGCCTAATATATATAAATAATATATATAAATCAATAAAAACATATGTTAGACGTGTGCGTAGTGGCGTAACCAGGATTTTCACACAGGGGGAGCTCAGCTCCAAAAAAATTCAAAAACGTATCGGAGGTAGTGTAACTTTTTTCTGAAACAGTTCAACTATTACGCGATCTCTGTCAAGATCCACTTCACCTTCCACTGAAAGATTCGTGTCGCGTCTCTTTCTCTTCAACAGTTTTATTTAAAAAAGTCTAATCTACACAGTCATAGATGATCGGACTATAATTTTCAAAGAAAACGCTGTTTTTTTCATAAAGCTAAGAAAATCTTTTCCCTAGCTCCCCCTGTAATTACGGCAGTACTATATTCTATTCCAATTTAAAGCATTTCTTAACAACTTATTGTACTCTAACGTACTTCGTGGTGCTTCAAAGTATTTTAAGAAACCTCAACATACTTAGTGATACTTTACTGTACTTTAAAGTACCTTAAAGTATTTCATGGTACTTCAAAGTACAAAAGAATCATAATTCCTCCTTGTTATTTCGTTGTGTGTATTATGTCATGTAGAGGGCTGATGAGTCTTTCTTAGAAAAACGAAACGTGTCAAGAATTAAACTCTACATAATTTTTCTTCGATGTAAATCTCACAGATGTCTTCGTAGCGTTAAAGTCGATTACTGAAAAGCGTTACTGTCTCTTAAGCAACGACAAAAAAATCTGTTTATAATCGATTATTTGATGTTTTAATCAATCATAATCCCGATAAATAAAAAATGCGTTTTTCTTGAGGTTTAACTGAGAAATATAGTTTTTTACTGGTTTTTTGAATTCCTCGCGCCGACAAATGGTAAGTACGGCATTAGACCAACCTTTGGCACTGAGGACACACTTGGTGAGATGACATCAATCAGTATTTGGTTATTCTTTGACTGTCGTGAATTAAATCGATTATAATTGATTAAAAATCCAAATTCAGATTAAAAACCGGATTGAAATCTTGCCATTATGAACGGTTTTAATCACTAAAAAATCGATTATAATCAGATTCGTTGTCATTTTTTTTTATACGAGAAGGTTCTATCTGTTTTTTTTGGTATTTCTTTCTTTCTTTCTGACTCCTTCTTTTATCTCTCGGCGTGTTGGCATGCGCTGCCAATATTTCAGTGGCAGAAATGCAAAAGAGAGAGGAATATAAATAGACATTTGATGCATTCCTTCGGATAAGAAGGTAAATGTCAATGTTAGCGATTGTTTTTTTTCCAACAAGGATGAATAATATTTTTTTTTCAACAATGTACTAATGTAACCGTTAACATATATCTCAATTGCAGATAAGAGTTTAACATTTGGGGGAAAAAAGCGAATAAAAATCGTCACTAACCTTTGTCCTGGGAGAAGAAAGATCGTTCAGTGTCAGTTATCAGACTCTTATCTGAGAAGATTTGTTTTAAATTAATAAAGGTCGACCTGTTCGGAAAGGGCACTATCCGTTAAGGTGGAGAAATGAATTATAGATTTCTGAAATAGTATTCTTTACCTGTTTTACTCGAGCAAATTCATCAATACGACCATTTATAGACATGCGTTATAGACATGCGTGACAAAGACGATTTCATTATTGTCTGGTGCAATGAGCAGGCGGCATCCAATGACGCCATCAAAACCCTGCAACCTCTATGCAACGATATTCATTACTATCAAGATTCGGTTAATTGTATCTCGTACATTGAATCGCTGAATCCTAAACAGCATGTGTTTCTGATGGTTTCTCCGTTATTCACTTCGCTCGAAGCAATCCACAGCAAACGTCAAGTCGATACAATTTTTATATTTGAATATGGATCTACGACGCTGCGCGATGCAATGGATACTTCTAAATATCCGAAAGTAATTTCAGTCTCCGGTGATCTAAAGGATCTTGTCGAGTCAATTATTGTGATGAGCATAGAACTCGATAAATGTCGCCAATTGTTCAATCTTTACAATCACAAGCAAAAAGGTCTTTGGAATCTCTCGGAAAATTCAGCTCTATTTCTCTGGTTTCAGTTATTCAAAGACATGCTTGTCAATCTGCCGAAAAATACCAAACACGACGAACACGACAGAATCACATCTAAAAAATGTATGATTCAGCAGTGTTATGATTATTATCGAAACAATCCGACACAGATGAAAAATATTGCGGACTTCGATAATACTTATCAAGCGTCGAATGCGATCCGTTGGTACACGAGTGATTCATTCGTCTACAAGTTTATTAACAAGGCATTACGTACTGAAGATATGGAAGTATTACATACATTCCGCTTTTTCATTGTCGATCTTTGCACCAGTCTGGCTGAAAAGCATCAGGAAATGCTCGACCTTGAAGTTGATTTGCCATCAGTTGTCTATCGCGGAACGCAAATGATCAAGGAAGAGATAGAGTCGCTGAAAAACAACGAAGGCTGTCTCATTGCTACTAATGGGTTTCTCTCAACGAGCCGCATTCGTGAAGTAGCCAAAGTCTATGCTGGCTCAGGTATGATGATGATCATTTCAACTTTTGTGTCAAAACGACATGATGAATCAATGTACCAGATTTAGCGCTCCAATATCCTTTTCTAGAAATGAACCGAATTGATAGATATATTTAAACAGGGCAATATTACAAGAGGTAAAGCGCGGAATTCTGGATGTCTGTGGAATTGTACGGAATTCAAGGGAATCCTGAATTTCAAGATTCCACAGGATTCCGTAGAATTTTCTAAGACACTATAGGGAATACATCGAATTCCTGGATTGCAGATTCCGAGCTTTACTCCTTGCAATACCATTTTACTGCCTGAATGATCCACAGCTTGGTTCTGTCGAGATGTCAGATTGGACAGAAATGCTCAAAGTGGTAGTGTGGAAACCGAAAAGTCGATTCTACTCAAAAAATCACATCGCCTATTCGACTATTCAGTCTGACGCGTGACTATGACACACTTCACATCCGAATGTTGTCCCCTCATCTCTCTCACGACTAGGCAACGGCGTGATCAATATTTTTTGATCACGGTCGGGTCACACGTACAATGAGTTTGGTTACGGACACGATCGTGGTCACTGTGATCGTAATCGTGAGTCACAACAATTATGCTAGCCATGCCGATGTCTAATTGTGAATGATTGTTGTATTGATTATATTTCTTTGTTTTGAATTAGCATAATTAATAAAAGATGTTGATACATACCGAAACAATAATAAATATAAAATATTTAATCTTGAGGTACGTTCAGATTTTCAAAAAAGAAAATTACGGAAATTTCCGTGATTTTCAAGAGCACGTAAACTTAAAGAAAGGTATTTTCGATAATACAGGGAGTTACAGAAATCTAGGAAATATCCGAAATTAGGAAAATTTCGGAAATTACCGAATTTTTTGAAGTAACGGAGCTTTCGGAGTATCACTTTAAAAATTTCCGAAATTTTCGTAATTTCATTCTTTTGGAAGTCTAAACAGTGATGTTGATCTTCCAATGCAAATTAAAAAAGCTGTTATATGACCAAATTAAAAATTTTTCGTTATCATTCGTAACCAGGTTTTGGTCATGGTTACGCCACGGTCACGATATTTTTAAAGAAGTTGGTCACAGCAGTCACGGTGATCCCGCCCATGTCTAATCACGACACTGCTCGCCTCCTGAATCCGCCCCCCAAACTCTCACAGAAGTCCCGTTCACGAAGATGCTCCCATCGTCTTCATGTAAACTCGCCCTCTCACATAGAGGTACTCTTCATGAAGAACCCCCTTCACTGACATCTAAAAAGTACCTTTTATATAGAACTCCGCCTCAAGAAGAGTTCTCTGCACCCCTGCATGTAGATCCTCTTCACACTTCTCGCACCCTCACTCACACACAATCCCCCTCTCTCTTCATCTTCAGCTTCGAATTTTCGAATACTTGAAGAATCAAAAAGCCGAATAATCCAACTGACTTTTCGATTTCTACATGTATCAGAATGCAAGAAGCTGTAACAATATTGATATCGTCGGTCTCTGTTTCCTGTTACAATTCAAACTGATTATTGCTCAAAGGCTCACGTCATCCTTAAAACCATTTCTGTAGAACGCTTCAAGATATTTCACTTGTTTTAGGTGCAATGTCGTCGAAACGGCGCGGTGAACTACATGCAGTTGTGTTCGAACTTGAACTACCGACAAACCTGAAATCATTCGTGTTTGCAGATATTTCGTATATGAGCAAGATGATCGATGAACAAGAAATCCTATTCGACATTGGTACCACGTTCATTGTGACTAGTGTCGCCTTCGACGATGTAGAACAGAATTGGGTGATTCGACTGACTGGTACCGACAAAGGACATGATATTGTCACCAAAGAATATATTGATTTTTATCGAAAACGTATGGTCGCACTAACACCAACTATTAAGCTAGGTGAATTTCTTATTATTGTCGGTCAGTTTGAAAAAGCGCGAGCCTATTTCAATGATTTGCTCAAACTGCATGACCAAGATGATGTTTATATTCTGTTCAATCTTGCTTGGATTGATAAGTGTCAAAGAAAATATCGAGAGGCTCGAGAAAAACTCGATCGTGCCTATGAGAAGGAAAATACCAACGATTTGCCGTGCCAACAAAAGCTGCGCGATATACTTAACGATATTGGAACTATTCATGTGGTAATGGATGAACACGAGCAAGCTTTAAACTATTATCAACAAGCAATGAAAATTTCATCAAGTTCAGCTATCTTCAACAACATAGGATTGGCATATAAGATCCAGGGCCGATACGTCGAGGCGCTGGAATATTTCAACAAAGCGCGTGAGGTCAGTGATCGCGAATGGCCCAGTGGGCATCATGAGATAGGTATCACATTGGACAACATTAGACAAACGTACAATTATCAAGGTGAATATAGCAAAGCACTTGATTATCATTTGCAAGCGCTCCATGTCAAACAGAAAACACTGCCCGATGATCACATGGATATTGGGATTAGTTTCAACAATGTCGGTTTTACATACAACAATTTGGGAGAATATGATGAAGCATTAACATATTATCAGCGTGCTCTTCAAGTATATCAACAATATTTACCTGAGATTCATCTTGAAATTGCCGTCTTACTCGATAATATGGCTACTGTGTATTATTGCCAAAAACAATATACCAAAGGTCTTGAGTATCTTTATAAAGCGCTCCATATTGAAGAGCGTGTCGAGCCAGTCAGTCGTCTGACACTGGGTCGAACGTTAAATAATTTAGGTGTAACACTTATTGCTCACAAGC